CAACAATACATAATAATTAGTAATAGTTAGTAAGGAGGTAAAAAAATAAGTAATGATTACGTATTTTATTACCTTGCCCATCTCTAGCCCTGATACGTACGTACGTACGTACTAGAGCTGCAGGTGAAACTAAATTACACTGGTGAAACTGGTGACTATCTGAAATCTGATTGGCTATATCTTTCAATAGCCAATCAGATTTTAGATAGTTGCCAGTTTCACCAAGTTTCACCAAGTTTCACCAGTTTCACCAGCAACTCTAGTACGTACTACTATTTTTTAAACGTATACATAATTCCATTCAATATGTCGATTTTATCACATATGAACCAATCAAATCAGTAAGTACTAGTCCTAGCTGTAGGTCCCTATAATAATTCATGTAACCCATTTAAGCAATGTAACGCATAATTATTTAATAAAGACCGAGGCCAGGCCTCGCTCTTAAAAAACAAAAAAAAAAATAATCAAATCAGTAAGTGATATGACGTGATTGTGATCGAATAAAATTCAATATACGAATAATTTATCAATGAAGCTTTTACATTGAATTCCATATTTAAATAGTTATTAAGCACGCAAATTTGATCTAAATCACATCTACAATGACTTGCAATTAACTCTTATACAGTAAGATGACAATCAAATTTTGTATTTTAAATAGCATAAATAAGTTATTTAGCTCATTGAGTCAAGCAAACCAATTAACGAATATCCAACCAGAAGTTGCTAATATTAGAAGTCAAGTTTTTTTTAAAATTAAATGAAATTATGCTGGGTTGACCACAATACCAAAACATTCCTATTTTCTTTTAAAATCTTTGCCACATACTGTCATATTTTTACATGATGATTCGTTCAGCATTATCAATAGTAAACGTTTTTATGCTTGTAGAATCTTAAAAAACCATTGTCTTGTTTATTTAGTAAAATTAATTTATGCAAGATACATATAAAATTATGTGACTTAGTTGCACAAGGATGATATCAAAAATTTACTTAAAGGGCCTCTAATTCAACCATTTCGACATCGCAAGTCTTTCGATTTTATTAGAAATTTTCCAAAATACTTTCGATCTGTCAAATAACCTCTAATTTAAACATTTCGACATCGCAAGTCTTTCGATTTTATTAGAAAATTGCCAAAATACTTTCGATCTCTCAAATAACCTCTAAACATTTCGACATCGCAAGTCTTTCGATTTTATTAGAAATTTTGCCAAAATTCTTTCGATCTGTCAAATAATTGACATTTTACGACATAGGTCAGTACCTAATTTATTTGTCTTAAAGCTTATAAAAAAAAAAAGGGATAATTATCACAAATAAATCTTATACAATAATCTTATAATTACTAAATTTGTAAATTTGTAAATTCATAGTGTGTCAGATATGTACGTACGTACGTATTATGCGAACGATAAACGAAGAAAAAAAGAAGGAGAAAAGAGACGAAAAAAGAAAAAAGAAACGATCTCGTCGAATATTATTTGAATCGATTTTTAACGTCAACTTCATACAACGCGGTGTTTTATGAAGCAGGATCATAAATATCGAAAAAAAAGTCATTATATGAATAATTGTATGGTGGGAAAAAAGAATGTTGGAAATTGTAATAATCCAAACTATTTGGTGTAAAGAATGTATTTATGTCATGCACTACATCTTGTGAGTTAGTAGTACTTGGATCTAATGATTCAGAAGATGGTCCGGAACTTTCAACGCTTTGTGGTGACAAAGTCCCAGAATTTAAACAGTTAGCATCCTCTAAAACATTGTTTTTAAGATCCTGTTTTTTCTTATTGGGTTGATATCGGTAATTTGGGAACATTTCCTTATGTTTCTTAAGGGCCTTGATTTCTAATTGTTTAAAAAAAATTCTCACAGAAGGTGGTTGTTCACTCCACCTTTGAGCGGCTAAAGATGAAATTTTTTTGGCAATAATTTTTTCACCTTTGTGAAGGGACCTATATTTTGCTTCAAAATCTTTGCGAAACAAAAGGAAACTATTCTGGGGCCTTGGTGGTTCATTGGTTTTTTTTGAGCGGCGGGAATTTGTTGAAGGGTAAATTAATTCGTCGGCATCTATTGTCAACTCATAGGGTGCGGGAACAGTGTGCAGCTGTTAGTCGTTGATGACGTACTCAGTTGGCAATGAGACACCATCTGCACGAAACATTCGAGAG